AAGACAGTCCCGCCCCCCGTGGTGTCAACAGGTGCCTGTGTGGCTGCAGATATGTCTCACTGCATCTGGACACGACGATTCAAATGTAAAATTAATTGGTTAAAGTTATGAGATACTGTACTGTGTATGTAAACAGCTAGCGAGGGTCCGTCCGTGGACCGTGCGTGGCAGGAGAGGCAGATAGCTTAAGGTAACGCAAAAAGTTCCTTTGCCAAATTTATAGTCTACATACTTCTGCTTTGGGCCAGTTTTTTTCTTCCTCCTTCCTTCGCTTTCGGAATGCTGATCCCGATGGCTTAGGTGGTGTTCTTTTCATCGTAAAATATCAAAAGTTTAAACGTGACAACAGGATGTCCTTCTACAGTGCTGCCCACGCACATGATCTACGGCACCCTTAACGGTCAAATGCGTCGTAGCGGTGGCCCATATAACAAACATAAATTTAATAAACTTTTTTTTTATTTTATTTTGCGTCCTATCCATCAGATGGCGCCCCAGGCGGCTGCCTGTGTCGCCTGTCGGCAAAGCCGGCCATGATATTTATCAACCGAGCACCATTGGTGTGAGGTTCTCTGCTCAATGTTATCAGAAGGAGAAACAGCCTACCACTTCAACTACCAGAGTCCCAAAAAGAAAAACACCATTTGAATTTGCAGACAACAGAAGATTTTTGGACCTAGAAAACAATGACTGGTGTTTAGCACTGTCTCGTTTACTCTGGCAGTGCAGGTTCTGGTATCAGGTGGACATAGCCCAGGGATGATAGTTCCTTGACTGTGATTGTGTATAAAAGCTAGCTTGTTTTTCAGATTTGCTTTTGCAGCTCTAAGTTTAGACAAAGATCTTCTCAATAATAATAAAAAAAGATCATTGTAAAACTACCGTTTCAAGTTGTCCCTGCCTCTCAACCACTGATGGCTGGGATCAACCAGGACAAGTGTCACCAATGCCAGTCCTTGAGGACTACCATCCTGTTAGTTCTCTGTGTTTCCTGCTCTTCCACACCTGAACGGTTCTAATTTAATCCTCTCCTTACCACGTTTACCACTGTGCAGGCCTGATAAATGTTTGAATGCTGGTAAGCATTCAAACAATTGTTTTTCTTTATTCTTCTGCTTCTTCTTCTTATTCTGCTTCCGTACACTTTTTGAACCTCTTCTTCTCCTTCAAATTTTGAGCTATTTCAACAATTTTATATCAAAACGTTCAGCTCATTAAGCTCTTTCCGGCTATTACTGTTGGCATTGATATCTTTCAAATTTTTCGAGTTATTAAGCTTTTTCTGCGAAAAATTTCCCATTGAAATGAATGGGATTGGTCAATTTTCAGCAAATTCCTATCAATTTTTTGACCTCAAATTCTATAGGGTTCCTTTTAACTCAGAGACTTTATTCAAAGTTTAACAAACTCACAAGACTTTCCCGTTTAACATATTAAAGAGGCTTTTTGATATCTTTTACGGTTTTTCTAAAATCGCAGGTAGAAGTTGAGGTACGACTTGAAATTTTCAGAAAAATTCACAAAAGTTATAATGGGGAAAGATAGGAGCAGTGACCCTCCCTTGCTCCATTTCTGGCGTTGTACCGAAAGAACCGTAGGTCCGATTGAAATGAAACACATGCTGGCTTACAGCTAACGAACATACCTTCGTTTTGAGCTATAATTCATGACTGTACTCCAAACTTTGTGGCTGTGCGGTTCATTTGTTTGAGAAAATTCAAATTTAAAAAAATGTCTCTCCCCACTCTAACTTGAGAATTCCGCACTGTAACTTTTTAACTTCACATCTTCTGTGAACAACTCTTTACTACCCCCAGACTGTTTGGACTAACAAAACAAATTATAACTCAAAAAGTAGGAATTTTTGTCAGCTTTTCAGAATGGGTTTCATTTTATCTGTAAGTGTTACCGTTCGTTCGCTACAAGCCTCAGAAGGAGGAGAGAGCCAGATTCTCGCTCATTGAAACCCATGTTAAAGGAACAGAGATTTTCTCCTCAAAACGGCTTCAGACAGCTAAACGTTTCTCGTCATAGCTTCTAGACAATTCATGGTAGGCACATAAAAATCGGCACAGATGATCATCAAAGTCTTCTACCACTCACGCTTTTTGAATTTTTCAAATCGATGCAGTACTTTTCGAATGGTGATGAGAAGTTTGACAGGTCCAATTTCACTTTTTAAAGGACAGATTTCAAGGGTTCTCTCGTTAACAGGAGCATAGGCGGAGATCCCGGGGGGACGGGGGGGAAGCGTCCCCCCCCCCTCACACAAAGTTGTCCCCCCCCCCACCCCCACAAAAGTTATTGTAAATGTATAAATGCTATCAGTAAACCTGTATTGTTTTCTATACTTCTATCTATCCATCCATCCATCCATCTAACATCCATCCAACAATCCATCCATTATTTCATTCATCCAACCCTTCATCCATCCCATATCAAATCTGAACATATGTTAATCTATCAGTTTCAGATATCAGCAAATATTTCTAAATTCACAGTCCAGCCAATTGTAAAAATGTACCCGTTAAACTATTCTCATTCAAATGCCAGCTGTTTAACATTTCAAATTTCGAGTTTTTAATAAATGTACAAAGATTAAAATTGTCTGCTGTTTAGCATTTTTATCCATTCTTCACCTATATTCTGAGCTTTATTACACTTGTTGGTGATTTTTGCTTCTAAATCTTTAAATACATTCAGCTCTTTTTGACAGTTCTGCTTTGTTTCAGCTTTAGTTGAGCTGTTCAGCAGCTTCAGCTTACAGTTTCAGCTATCCAGCATTCAAACAGCATTTGTGCAACAAATGCAATTTTTCAAGTTATTATTCTGCTTCCGTACACTTTTTGAACCTCTTCTTCTCCTTCCAATTTTGAGCTATTTAAACAATTTTATACCAAAACGTTCAGCTCGTTAAGCTCTTTCCGGCTGTTACTTTTGGCATTGATGTCTTTAAAAATTTTCGAGTTTTTAAGCTTTTTCTGCAAAAATTTTCCCATTGAAATGAATGGGATTGGTCAATTTTCAGCAAATTCCTATCACTTTTTTGACCTAAAACTATTGGGTTCCTTTTAACTTAGAGACTTCAGTCAAAGTTTAACAAACTCACAAGACTTTCCTGTTTAACATATTAAAGAGGCTTTTTGGTATCTTTTACGGTTTTTCTAAAATCGCAGGTAGAAGTTGAGGTATGACTTGAAATTTTCAGAAAAATTCACAAAAGTTATAATGGGGAAAGATAGGAGCAGTGACCCTCCCTTGCTCCATTTCCGGTGTTGTACCGAGAGAACCGTAGGTCCGATTGAAATGAGACACACGCTGGCTTACAGCTAACGAATATACCTTTGGTTTGAGCTATAATTCATGACTGTACTCCAAACATTGTTGTTGTACGGTTCATTTGTTTGAGAAAATTCAAATTTAAAAAAATGAATCTCACCACTCTAAACTGAAAATTCCCCACTCTAACTTTTGAACTTCACATCTTCTGTGAACAACTCTTTACTAACCCCAGACTGTTTGGACTACCAAAACAAATTATAACTCATAACCTTGGTGAGGACAATAGACAGTTCCGCCATGCAGCTTACAGACAGTTTGTAGCATGGCAGCATGGAAAACTTGGTGGAGGGCGCAGAGTAGTAATCCCAAGCTGTGTTGTCTGGAGGATAACGGAAAAATTCCCTGACCCCAATAGTAACTACACTAGTTTTATTCCAAGACGATTGTAAATAAATGTATATATTTGATATTTTACATAAGTTTGTTTTTTATATATTTTTGTTTGATGCTCTAATAAAGTGTTCTAAAGCATAACTCTCTGTTGCATTTGTAAAAATACCATAAATGTTAAAACTCCTGCACAACAACAAAAACTTATGTCTACCTCCAGCATTTTACATACATTTTTAAATTATTAGTCCTTATTTCCCCAAAATATATCTTTATTTAAAAATAAATAAATAAATAAAACACAGGCAGTGTTGCCAACTCAGCGACTTTGTCACTGTTCCTAACGACTTTTTGACCCCCCTCAACGACTTTTTTTCCAAAAAGCGCCTAGCGACAAACTTAGCGACATTTCTCAGGACCCGTTGCTACTTTCTGTAGAACTTTCTTGTAGATATTTCCCACAGATTAGCAACAAAGAAACCGTTTGCACTCTGAACCGTTCTTCCGGGAGTAAGGAAAGAGAACGATAATCTGCACATGTGCACGAGGACCGACCAATCATAAACCGTTTTCGGCCGGGCTGATTCGCTGAAGACAGAGTACAGCTGCAGAGCTGGAGACCGCCGATTTACGTCTGCTGCTTTCATATTGCTGCAGGCTCACGCTTCTACTAGAGACGGCGCGGGCGTCAACCTGCCATCTCTGGTTCTGCAGCCGTCAGACACTTTGGTTTTTCCTGCATTTGGTAAATAAAGTCAACGGGAGTTTCAACTACCGTCCCGTTTACACACGCAGCTCTGTGGCTCATCTGAATTTCCTTCAGAGACACAGGGATGGTTATACCATGAGACACCCGCTCCCTTTTACTCGGTGCGTCGTTATTATCACGATGGAGAGAATACACAACGGAGAAGTTGAGAAACTATGAGGTGTAAAAAAACAGCTTTTTAGGAAAATGTCTGTGAGAATGAGGAGAGCAGGAGGTCTGAGTTATATCCTACAACAGAACTGTTTGGATCACCACACCATATCTGTCTTAATGTCACTTTATTGATACTTTTGGAATTTATTGTACATATCAAAGCTATTTGGGCTATTTTAATCATACTAATTAATAACTGTAACATATAACATACTTATATATAATATATATATATATATATATATATATATATATATATATATTAGATGCTATGGGGAAAACGAATGCTAATGTGGCGTGATGATGTCATCAATATGTAAATTAGCACGTGACATCATCTGGCGACGTCTAGTGACTTTTGGGGGGAACTTCAGCTACTTTCAGTCAAAAACAGTTGGCAACACTGAACACAGGAAACAAAAATAAAGAAGGTTTTGGGTTTTCTCTTGCCTCCCCCAACACCTATGTCTGTGGCAAAGTTTTACCTGTAAATAAAAAATAAACTCAATTAGCAGTGGATTATTGTGTGGAAGATGTAAGGCAGATAATGTTTTATCTTACCATCACCACGAGTCCGTATGTGTTGTAGAAGTTCCTCTGTTGATGGTGCAGGGACTCCGGACAGCAAACCGTAACACCTTGGATCCTCAGGCCTTAGCTTGTAGCGTCGAGGAAGACCTTTCTTGCTTGTCAAACGTTGGTTGACGATCATGGTTTCTTAGTTTCACCTTGTTCCATCACCTCCTCCAAATTATCATAGCTATGAAAATAAAATACAAGCACAAGAATATGATTAGAATCAATACATATTTTATCATTTTGAAGGTAATAGATCTCGTCTATTGGCCGTCATCATCACCCTCTCCTTATTTTTCTCCCTCTACTTATTAAGCATTTCTCTGTATCCACTGAATTCCTTCTTTACAAATAATTTCCTGTCTCTCTCTTTACATTTTAAAAACACAATTGTGTTATTTTTTTTCAGAAACTTTGAAATAAAAATATAATTTTTTAAAATATGTTTAATTTTGTTGTTGTGAAGTGCCTCAAGAGTTTTGTCTTGAGAGGCGCTATATAAAATGTAGTTTTACTATTTATTTCTATACATTTTTTATAGTCATTCGTTATCCCATTTCTAGAATTTTTTCAAAATAATCCACCACTAACTTAAAACAAACAGAGGCAAAATTATAATATTCCTGGTAGAGGTTTTTACGCAGCTATTTACCTTTCAGATGACTCTCCTTGAATGCTAGACAGAGCTGGCACTGGTTTTGGAGAAATAAACAGTTGGCGTTTCAATGGTGTAGATGATGATGCTTCATATTTGGACTGATGACTGTAAAAAACAAAGCCCAAAAATTAGTGATCACAAGCTAAACATGTCTCCCCAGCCTTCACAGATTTTTGCACAAGCTGATTATCATTCCTTTTATTTTAATATGGAGTTTTCACGTAGGTAAGACCACAAACTCAGACAGTAATCTGTACACGTGGCCTACCCAGGTTAGCACAATATGTCTTTCAGTGCTAATGGAAACGTAAGGTTTTGGATACGTTCCTGATCAATCACACCTAATTCTAACTGCTGAATCATCTCCTCAGACTTCTACAAGTACTACATGAGCTGCCGATTACTCATTTTAATCAAACATGCAGCTCAGGAAAGTGTAAACATCTAATTCAGCTTTCAAGATGCTAACTGAACCCCGCTAAAGGGGAAGTTATAAACAAGAGCTTAAAACAATACACTGATATGGCCTATAGTTAAACGCCACACTAATCATTAGCTCCCATATAAAAAAAACTAAAATCCCCTTTCGTTACCCAAACTTCTTCCAAATATAGCATAAATAGTTCGACTAGCATCGATTCATGTCGACTTAGCATTCAAGCTAATGCTACATTAGCCAATAGGACACCAAGCATACAAAGCTTGTTTGCTCTATTACTTCTTTCAGTGAAAGAAAGTAAATTAAGTAAATTTATCCGAAAAACAATAAATAACTTACCTGTCCCTAAGATACTTTGCCAACTCTTCATCCGTTTTCAGGCCGTGTAGATCACGAAAATCACTCCATCTTTTAAAACAATCTCCAATGTAAATTCTACTCGACTGTCTCAAACGTCTTACAGCCACTTTTGAAGAAGGGCTTTTAAACTTTTTAAATGTTTTTTGAGATGTGGAAGGCAGTCGAGGAATCTGTAATTTGGGGTTTGTTGCTCCATGTTTCTGCAGTAAGCCAAGTAAGGCGCGTGACACTGTTGTGCACGCTGAGACCTGCTCGTGCTCGATGATTGACAGCTGCCCCCTCGTGGTAACGCAGCGCTATTGGTCAACGCGTTAGGCTTGCAGAAATATTGGCTGAGCTCTACAGGGGAGGGGAGGGACTTAGGAGAAAATTGAAATATTAAAGATTATTTACTTTTTTTAATAAAATTGGGTCAGATGGTCAAAATAAAACATTTTTAAAGTTATTCTACATTTAAATGTTGCAGACTGTGCCTTTAACAGGAGTACAGCTGCAGGCCTCCAACAGCCAGGGGAAAAGGCGGGAAAACAGTGCTGCTCTCTGATTGGTTGAGAGTGTTCAACCATTTTCTGTCCAGCATCCACACATATGACACATCAAATCGACCAGCTTGGTCTCAGGAATCTTGTATTCAATTTTAAATGTGTTATCTGTTACCATGGCAACACAAGGAACTACATATCACTTTAACCAAGTCTCATAGGAATTAATATTAAAAAGCTGAATATTGAGCCAATAACCGACTCCTGTTTTTGATCTTTTTGAGCTATCTGTATTTAAAACTAGAAACAAGTTCAATTTGATTGACCGTCAGAAGGTGGCAAAGTGCCCCGCTCCCTCCCAGCTTCCTGATTGGTTGAAAGAGGTCAATCATCTTCGGGCTAAATGGAATTACACATCCACGCATGTGAGACATCAAATCGATCGGCTTGGCCTAAGGAATCCATCCATCCACATATAAATAAATGAGTAAATAAAACCAACCAACCAACCCTATACTTTTAAAACTAGCAGCATAGCTGACATTTTAACACTAGTCAGAAGGCAGGAACTGCCCCCTCCTCCTTTGCTGCTCTCTCATTGGCTGAGAGTTTTCAATCGTCTTCTGCCCAAAAGGAAATGTGCACCCACACATATGTTACATCAATTCAACCTGCTTGGTCCCAGGAGTCTTGTATTAACTTGATATTGTGTTCTGCATTACCATGGCAACGTGCTTAGCAACAACATTTTAGACACAACTGTATCAACATACTTTAATATAGAAATGTTATTCAAAGTTTAAATGACTCATGTGTTATTGTACATAGCTTTATTAATGCAGACTCCTGTCATCTGTTACCATGGCAACACAAGGAACTACAAATCATTTTAACCAACTCTCATAGGAATGAATATAAAAAGCAGAATATTGAGCCATTAACAGACCTTGAATGCTTTTGATCTTTTTGAACTGTTTGTACTTAAAACTAGAAATAAGTTCAATTTGATTGACCGTCAGAAGGTGGGAAAGTGCCACGCTCCCTCCCAGCTCCCTGATTGGTTGAGAGAGGTCAGTCATCTTCTGGCTAAATGGAATTACACACCCACGCATGTGAGACATCAAATTGATCGGCTTGGCCTAAGGAATCCATCCATCTACATATAAATCCATACATGCTTCTATCCATCCATCCATCCACCCACCCACCCACCCACCCATCCATCCATCCATCCATCCTTCCATCCATCCAATAAACCATCTAACATCCATCCAACAATCCATCCTTTATTTCATTCATCCATCCCATATCAAATCTGAACATATGTTAATCTATCAGTTTTAGATATCAGCAAATATTTCTAAATTCACAGTTCAGCCAATTGTAAAAATGTACCCGTTAAACTATTCTCAGCTGTTTAACATTTCAAATTTTGAGTTTTTAATAAATGTTCGAAGATTAAAGTTTTCTGTTGTTTAGCATTTTTTATCCATTCTTCACCTATATTCTGAGCTTTATTACACTTGTTGGTGATTTTTGCTTCTAAATCTTTAAATACATTCAGCTCATTTTGACAGTTTAGCTTAGTTTCAGCTTCACTTCAGCTATTCAGCAGCTTCAGCAATCCGTTTCTGAATTCGGCTTATGCTACTCATTTCACAGTTCAACTAAATATAAAAATTAAACTGTTGAACTAGTCCTACTCAAACAACAAGTGTTTAGATATTTTTGCTGTCCAGATTTTTAAATAATGTTCAGATTTCAGTTTTCTGTTGTTTAGGATTGTTTTCTCCGTTCTTCACTTTTTGTGCTTTATTTACATTTTGGTGATTTTTGCTTCTAAATCTTTCAAAACATTCAGCTCATTTTAACACTTTAGCTTAGTTTCAGCGTCAGCATTTAGTTTCTGAATTCAGCATATGATGCTAATTTCACAGTTCAGCTAAATGTAAAAATTTAACTGTTAAACTAGTCCTACTGAAATAATAGGTGTTTAGACGTTTTAGCTGTCCAATTATTTTTAACAGTGTTCACAGATTTGAGTTTTCTGCTACTTAGGATTAGTTTTCTTGATTTTTCACTTACTTTTTGTGTTTTTTTTTTTTTTTTTTTTTGCTTCTTGGTGCTTTTTGTTTTCACATCTTTGAACAGTTTAACTTAGTTTCAGCTTACTTCAGCTATTCAACAACTTCAGCAATCAGTTACCAAATTTAGCATAAACTGCTAATTTCACAGTTCAGCTAAATGTAAAGATTAAACTTGGCAAACTGAAATAACAGGTGTTTAGACATTTAAGCTGTCCAGATTTTTATACAATTGTAGCAAGGTGGAGAAACGAGGGCCCGGGCAGGATTTGATCCCCATACTCCCGGGTGAGAGTCATACGCTCTAACCAGTCAGCCAAAGGATCTTCCCCTTGCCAAGTAGCCAGGGCGCATGATCAATCAGGACACTGTGACAGGACACACACTGCCACACAGTGTTCACAGATGTAAGTTTTTTGCTATTTAGCATTACTTTTCTCTATTCTTCACTTACTTTTTGTGCTTCATTTGCTTGTTGGGGCTTTTTGCTTCTACACCTTTCAAGACATTCAGCTCATTTTGACAGTTTTGCTTAATTTCAGCTTCAGTTCAGCTGTTCAGCAGCTTCAACTTACAGTTTCAGCTATCCAGCATTCAAACAGCATTTGTGCAATAAATGCAATTTTTCTAGTTACTCATTAATTTCATTCAGGTGTGCAGGAGCAAAGAAATGTGCAGGATGGTAGCCCTCAAGGACCGGAGTTTGTGACCCCTGGACTAGAGACTCTTTCTAACCTGAACAGGATTACAAATGATTTAGTGACTGTAACTAGCAGCTGGTGAGAACTCTATTTCTTTGTCCATATTTCCTTTTAAACTGTTAGCATTGGTTTAATTTTTGTGCTCATGCTTTTTTGTTTCTTCTTGCTAGAAGAAGAGTAAAAATTCATTATAGTCTATAAGTATAAAATAACATATATTAACACATAAGTACACAGAAAACAGCATACACTGAGTTCACTGTTGGCTACCAGAAGGATTGATGCAAAATTGTTTAAATAAGTCTGTAAGAAAATACTGACTCAGGACTTGATGATTACATTGATTCACTTAAGCCATAGAATCCACACTACCAAAACTTGTCCATTTGGAACAAATTAATTTGCTTTTTGTCAGATGGGTCTGAGACGTTTTTGTCACATTGCTCTTGATATAATGGGGAGAGACTTGGTGGTGGTGTCTTCATCTGCAAAGAGCAGAAATGTCACTGTGCCAAACTGAACTATTACAACATCATAGTGATACCTTAATGTCCTGGCCACTCACAGGAGAAACTAGAACAATAACTAGAAATAGAATAGAATAGACTTTATTGATCCCACAGTGATGAAATTCCCTTGTTACAGCAGCACATACACTTAGAAAATAATTCGAAGAAAAATAATAACAAAAGTGCTTATATGCACACATAGACAGTAAGCTCATTTTGAAACCTTAGTCCACTAAAAACTATGAATAAAAATGAGACTTTGAGTTTCAGAACTATGCAGCATTCTGTAAGGGATACAGTACGTGTTTAATTCCAGATTTACATAGTATCTCTTGAGTATTGCATTGATCTTATTGTGTACCAGGATAATGTACAACTTAAACTGAGGAATTAAACACTCCTACTCCAGAGGAGATGAATGACCTACTGTAGCATTCTGTTTTACATCTGGGATGTCTCAGTCTGCCTCTGAAGGAGCTGTCCTTAGTCTCCACAGTGGGATGCAGTGGGTGGGAGGTTTTTTTAAGGTGGAGGTCATCTTCCCCACCATCCTCCTTTCACACGTCTCCTCAACTGATTCCAGTGGGCAGCCCAGAATCGAGCTAGCTTTGTTAAATGGTTTGTTCAGTCTGTTCCTGTCTTGGTCAGAGCTGCCTGCACCCCAGCAGACCACAGCAGAGTGATAAAAGAATTTTAGCAGATTGGAATTTACTCCGAAGGACCTCAGCCTCCTAGGTAGGTGGAGGCGGTTTTTGCCCTTCTTATCCAGAGCATCTGTGTTGCTGGACCATTTCAGTTACTGTTGAGGTGAACACCCAGGTACCTAAAGGTATCCACCACCTCAATGTCTGCTCCCTGGATGTTTACCAGGGAGTGAGGAGGAATGTTTCTCCGTAAGTCAATCACCATTTCTTTTGGCTTACTGGTGTTCAAGCGAAGGTGGTTACACTCACACCAGTCCACAAAGTCCATGATGACTGACCTGTACTCCTGGTCATTCCCCTCAGACACACAGCCGACAATGGCCGAGTCATCAGAGAACCTCTGGAGGTGACAGCTGCTGCTGTTGTAGGTGAAGTCTGAGGTATAGAAGGTGAAGAGAAAGGGTGAGAGTACCCTGTGGAGCTCTAGTACTGCACACAACTACCTCAGATGTACAGTTGTGCAACCTCCTGTGCTGTGGCCTGTTGGTGAGGTAGTTGATGATCCATGCAGTCAGATGTTCATCTACTCCTGCACCCCTCATCTTCTGCAGCAGTAGACACGGCTGGATGGTGTTGAAGGCACTTGAGAAGTCAAATAATATGATTTTCATGGTGCTTTTTGCATCTCAAGGTGAGTCAGTTGGTGGTTTAAATGTAAAATTAGTAGAAGGTATGGGTGTGTATTGGACATAATCTGGTAATGCAAAACCAATACAGATCATACAATGTATATCACAATACGACGGAGATGATACAATATTTTACAATGCTAAAAGCCAGACAATATTTGCAGGCCAGATGCTTCCAAGACACATCCACTTTTATCACAGGATCTCACATTTGTGCCTTGTTGGCATGTATGGTAAAGTGTCTTCTTTGTTGTTGTTCTCTTGTCCAACGTTGGCAGTAGCTTAGGCTAGCGGTTTACTGCAAATAGCAGTCTGACCAACGTTTATATTTTGCCAACACTGTAGTGGGTTGGGAAATGAAAATTTAAGGATATGTGTGTCACGCTGAGCAGGAGGAGGTAGGACCCAAAACACAAAAGTCCCAGAATGACTCGAGGCAAGAGCAGTTGAAAAAGGTAAAATCCTTCTATTAAGGTGGCAACAAAAATTACTTAGAGATGCAGGGGTCAAATCCAGAAACTGAAAATCAGGAAGCCAAAAAACAAAAGCTCAATAATGAGCACAAGGACTAGAATATGACGAGGGAAAAAAACAACTCTGACTCACAACAATGGACCGACTAACAAGACAGGGCTTTTAAACACAGAGGGAGATGATTAGAGGAACAGGTGACAGGTGTGAGTGAGATCTGGAGGGAAGGCAGGTGCATTCAATAAACTAAATGGGGAAAGAACTAAGCAGGAGAACCTGGAGGAGAACAGGAGGAGGCTGGGGACAGAGGGACACAGAACATGACAGAACCCCCCCACCCCCACCCAAGGGCAGATACCAGACGCACAAAAATCACAAGAACAAACCACAAACACAAGACAAGGATAAACAGAATACCAGAAACTACAGGGCGGGCGAGTGGGGACAAAACACAGAACAGGCCCGGAACTGGAGTTTGGGGGGCTGGCGACAGTGGGCGAGAACCAGACCGGCGGTGATGGCTGCCGATGCTTGGCCTGGAGTCAGAGGGGACGGAGACACATGAGGCTGAAGGGACGAAGACTCTGGTGGGGACGTAGACTCTGGAAGGGACGTAGGCGGGGACGAAGACTCTGTAGGGTGAGGAGGGGACGACGACTGAGGAGGGGACAAGGACTCTGCAGGCTGACGGGACGAAGGCGTGGACTCTGCAGGCTGACGGGACGAAGACGTGGACTCTACAGGCTGACGGGACGAAGACGTGGACTCTACAGGCTGACGCGACAAAGATTTGGACTCTGCAGGCTGACGTGACTGGAGGCGTAGCCGCTGCAGGGGGAGCGTCTTGGACAGGTGGGGCTGACTCGACTGTTGGTGGAGCCGCTGCAGGGGAAGCCTCTTGGACAGGCGGGGCTGACGCAACTGGAGGAGGATCCGCTGCAGGCGGAGCCTCTTGGACAGGCTGGACCGGAGCCTCTTGGACAGGCTGGACTGGATGCGGTGTGACCTCCGGGACCACCGCTGGAACAGGGTGTGGTGCGACCTCCGGGACCACCGCTGGAACAGGGTGCGGTGTGACCTCCGGGACCACAGCTCGAACAGGGTGCGGTGTGACCTCTGGGACCCCACTGG